AAACTGACCCTTTTAGGCTTTGATCCTTATTGTGGTGTTTTGGTGTCTGTCGCTTTACATTTAAATGATTGTGCTCTTTTCAAAAGTGGGTGGAGCTACAGATGCCTGTGTGTCAGCATAGTGGCAGATTCAAAAACATTACTAACATCCTACGCTAATGAGGGAGAGATGTTCACTAGTGGGCGGGGCTTTCCCCTTCTGATGACACGTACAAATGGAGAATGTCAATCAAAGTGTTTCTGCAGACTGTTTCATGAAGTCTGATTATATAAAAAAAAACAATTTATAATTTTTTACCATTAAAAGCTGTTTATATTCACACACTGCTGCCACACATCTGTGTTTGAACCCCTTAAAAAATGAGTTTTGCATAATATGACCCCTTTAAAGAAAAACCAGCTTCATTTTAGTGCATTTTTCACAAATCTCCCTGACCTTGAGGAGGAGTTTGGAAAAATGAATCACTACACAAATCAATTGAGAGCTGTTGTTATATATATAAGTAAACATAAATGCATTTTGTAATACACTGACAGAGTTTTTTGAGCTTGCATGCATGTTGTCGGGGATTCCCAGAACTGAAGTATGACCTTTTATAATCCATAATAGGGACACTTTAGCATGGCTGGGATGTTTGTACTGCAGAGGCCAGTCATCAGTTTTTGCAGTGTGGTAATAGTAGTAAAGTACAGCTGTTCTAGTCATAGCCTGTGTTATTTGAGCTTGAGGATCACGTGGTGCTGAAGATAAACACTCAGCACTCAGCACTGTCAGCCTGGCCTCGCTTTCCTGGAATTGTTATTGTGCTAAAGCCGCATCAGCAGCCAGTCTCTCTCTCTCTCTCTCTCTCTCTCTCTCTCTCCCTCTGTCTGTCTTCTTGTCAAGTGCTTGCAATAAAGTATTGCTAAAGCATTGCAGATTACATAAACAATGAATAAAATCAAAAAGTGATTATATAATACATACATGGGCCTTCTTTTGCTGCCAATACAGCATCAGTTTGGTATTGGGAATGAGAGATGCAAGTTTTGCACAGCGGCCAGACGGATTTTGAGCCATAATAGTGTTCAGGTCACTACGTGATGCTGCTGGAGGAAAACATTTCCTGACTCGCTCCTCCAAAACACCCCAAAGTGCTCAATAATATTTACATCTGGTGATTGTGCAGACCATGGGAGATGTTCAGCTTCATTTTCATGTTCATCAAACCACTTTGTCACCAGTATTGCTGTGTGTATTGGTGCATTTTGATCCTGATACACACCACCGCCTTCAGGATACATTGTTTGACCCATTGGGTCACATGGTCCTCCAGAATTATTCAGTACTCCTTGGCAGTAACACGCCTATAGCACAAGTATTGGGCCTAGACAATGGACCCAAACCATCACTGATCCCTCCCATGCTTTACTCCGGGCATGCTATAGTCTGGGTGGGACGCTTTTTTGGGGGTTTCTCCACACTGTAACTCTCCCAGGTGTGGGAAAGACAACGAAGGTGGACTCATCAGAGAACAATACCTGTTTCACATTATCCACAGCCCAAGAATTTCACAGCTGGCACCATTGAAACCCATTTTTGACATTAGGACGAGGCTATAATTTGGCTATAGCAGCCAGCCATGTATACTGACCCTCTGGAGCTCCAGACTAACGGTTTTGGTGTAAACAGGAGAGTGGAGCTGCAGTGAGTTGGGCTGTTGTGCTTTATGTATCTTGGATACAATCAGGGTCAGCATTCGGACATCCCTTTTAGACAGCTTCCTTTTGCGTCCACAGCTCCTCCTGCTGAATGTGGGTCTTCTTAGTGGTTTGCTGACTTTACTCTGGATACCGCAGCTCTTGATAATCACAGTTATTACGATTCTAAAGGCCTACGCAATAATATCTCCCGAGAGATATTATTAGGGCATTACCCCCCCCCCCCCCCCCCTTTTTTATTTTCATCCACAATCCACATACCTCTAGGGAAAGAGGGATGGGTTTGAATAAAATTAGGAGTTTCCGTTTGGGCACGCACTGATTTTCGCAGAGGCAAAACAAACACAGACGCAAGGGAAGAAAGACAGTGTTTGTGTTTACATGGACATCAGTAATCAAATTATTTGCCAAATTTTTAATTTGAAGACTTTGACTGCGGTTTGACACTTTCACTTTCATTCAGGAACGTTTCCTGCATCTCCCCCGTGACAAACCAGATATTGGATGCAGGAACTGCTGGACGAGTGTCATTTTAATTGAATGTTTGATACCGCACGGCGAATGGGAGAAAAAAACCCTCCACATTTCTTAGTAACTTAGATGCACTCGGTAGGGAGCGTCAGAAAGCTGTGTGTGTATAGACTATCCTGTCACAAAATGCGGTGAAAATCCCACACGACAATTTGATTGCGGTGTTTACATGTTTATACTCAGAGAGCAGCATTTACAGTGGATCTTTCAGTCCATAATATTGTAGTGATATTAACGTACTCTAAACTTAGTAACCTAGAAATCATTTTGACTAAGGTCTGCCTTTAAACACTGAAAGAGTACTGCTGACAATGCGAACTAACTTTGCCTCTGAATAAACAAACAAAGACCACTGATCACACACTTACCAAATCTGTAGAGACAGGAAAATCAACACCAACTGGAGCCATGTCTTTATTAAAAGGAGACGAGCAGAAAATCCGGATTTCACCATTTCCAGATGTGTAAAGCTCTCGGGTAAAAAGTGTTTCTTACAAACGTATTTCTGTCGCATGTCGCGTGCACTGTAATTCACACGTGAGAGCTGCACTCTCATAGCGGGAAATGAAAACAAAATCTTCTTTGCAGCACATTAATAAACGCAGCACTGATGACTTGTATCTCTGAACAATTCTTCTTCTTTTTCTTTCATCTCTGCCGTCTGAACACTGTAACAGGTAAAACAGTCTTGGAAACTATCATGCATATTAATGAAGTTGCACCGCATACACAATAGAGCGCGCTGATTGTTTTGAACCAAGCCTTTCTCATGAATTAATGCAGCACACTCAGAGACGTCACAATGCACTCCCAGGTACAGACGTCCAGTCTCCACACTGGAATCCACACAAGGATCTAATAGGCGTGACGCAGCTTCAAAAATTAATTTCAAACCGGAAGACCGAATTTGCTCGAAATAATGCAAAAACAACCAATTTTCACTTTTTTTGCTAAATATATGTGTCTTAATAGTGTTTTTAGCAGTGTGGGACACATATACGACTGTCAACAGCTTAAAACATGTGTTTTTGTGTTTTGTGAACCTTTACCACAACTTTTATTTGTTTTTTAACTGTTGAGCTACAAAAAATCAAACTGAAATTAAATGTTTTAATTAAATGTTGTGAATGAATCAGATTAAATAAATAAAAAAAATAAAATAAATAAATACAGTCACTTGATGGATAGCGAACATTGCAGAAGACATTAGCAAGCGACGAGGTAAAGTGTGTTTTTTAGTGTTATCAATGGGATCGTTCATGTTTTTTAGTGTCAGACATTCATTCATGATAAAATCTACAACAAATGTATCATTATTAATACAATTAAAGTATTTTAAATGTAATGAATTATAGTATTAATTAAATTATATAATGAATTATTATAATAAATTAGGAAATTATATTGACAACTTTACAGTTTGGTATATTTACCTCCAGCCAACCACCTGCAAAAGTTTGGGCACCCCTGTCCTAGAGAAATGAAATATTAAATGAGAAAACAGTGGGCGTGGCTTGTTTTTTTTTTTTTTTTTTACTGCAAGCTGATTGGATGTAGTGAAGTAGGCATTTAATTCAGAAAGATGGAGAAAAGGGTTTGGGGAGAGAGTTAGTACAGCCTAATCAGCCTGATCTCATGTGGAAATGTAAGTATTTTACGTTTTGTCAGTTTAGTGGTTAATTTATATGAATTCGTAAGACTAAAATGTACGATTTTAAAAAGGAGGCGTGGCACCCAACCCCACCCTTACCCCAACCGTCATTGGGTGATGAGCAAATCGTTCTAAATTGTACGAATTAGATCGTACGAATTCATATGAATTAGCCACTAAATCAAAAAGTTACGAATTGCCGCGAGATTGCGTTGGCCTAACAGATTCCTCCTGCTCACCATTTTTGTTTGTTGTCAAAACTGACAGCTGGAGGGGCGTGAATAAGTATGTTAGACATGCCCACTACCTCAGACATACCTAGGCCCTATCCCAATTCCACCCCTTAGCCCTTCCCCTTACCCCTACCCCTGGTTTTGCACGTTCATGTCAAGGGGTAGGGGTGTCCCAATTCTCTTTAACTTAAAGGCGTAGGGCTGAGGGGAAGGGGTAGAAAAATAGAAATGGGATTGGGCCCTAATCTGAGAATTGAAACAAGCAGGAAGTGCATTTTCAGATTTCTATTTAAGATTACAAGGGCAAACCATTTATTTTTTCATCATGACATGCACAGATGAATTGTTCAGCACAAAACTAGCCATGTGAGCTGACTAAATCAATATGGTTAGTTTTGATTTCATGTGTACTTTAAATAAGTAGTTTAAACAAGCAGGGGGTTTGCCTGCCCCTCCCAACCGCCTGCACACTGCAGGCTTTTCACGGTCGCATGGGTGTCCTCTCTCTCTCTCTTTCTCATATTCCAGTCACGAACGCCTCTTCCCCTCCACCCCTCTGTGCACTGTCAGGTCACCCGCTTGTTTGTTCAGATGGAAATGTAGAGGAAATGAAACGAATGCTCTGAGCTGGGCTTAACCCTTCGCTGAGATCAGCCGTCTGTCCGACAGAATAACCCACATCTAATAATAACACTCGCGCGCACACACACACACACACACACACCCCACTGCACTGCTTTGTCAACATTCACGCAGTTGACCTTGTTTGCTTGTGTTTCTGGCCTCATTGTGAAGGCATTTCAAAGAAACAGAGTCGTTTGTACTCGTAATCTTTCATCAGAATAACAACGTGATAATCTGATCGGCTGCTACTTTCCATTTCAGCTGACTTCATCAAGATCAAGGCATGGGTGGGGAAAAGACAAGATCATGTGAGGATCGAGGGATCAAGGGTGACGGTTTGGATGGTGGAGCAGTTTGCCCCTGCTGGCCGGTGCTGGAACTGCACATTAAACCATGAGTAAACATAAGAATGGTTTTGCATTATTTATGTGCATCATTTAATTTAATATAATTTGCTCTTATTTTTCAGACTGTTGGAATTAAATTGTTATTTAATTAATTTAATTAATTCATTTATATATTGGCTGAATATTCGGTTCCACTCAAATTCAGACCAAATAAACTTGAATATCCAGTGCAGGCTCGTAGCCAGGGGTGGTTTGTGTGGTTTGAAAGACCCACTCCTCACTGACAAAGGTCCAGATTTTGTATTTTGACTGCTGCACCTTTAGAAATAGTGAAAAAACCCTTTAAAAAAGGCTTAAAGAGTAAGCGGAATCCTCTGTCGGCTGTCACTTCAGTGTGACTTTAGCTAAACAGTTTTGGCCAATGCTAACTATTATTCTTCATGTGTCCAGCAATCTGCCGAAAGGGAAGTCATCTTTCACTGATGTCTTGTTGTTAAATAGTAAAAAAACATTCAATAAATAACTTTTATAGTAAATCTTGGAAATTATTCCTGAAATAAAAATGAGCAGTAAAAGGTGTGAAGCACCAAAAGCAGGCCATATTAAGGTAATTTCAATTCTATTGTTGACTATTGTTGTTGTCATCTCTGAATTTTCAAATGTACTTTTTTTTTTTTTGACATGATAGGCTAGAACAAGCGTGAAGCTCTATATTATTATTAAGGTTATTATTATGTTTTAATTATTCAACTGAACACATTCTGACTGAGGAGAGCTGAATGCGCTGCTCAGTGTGTTATCTGTCTGAATGACAGCAGGCTGCAGTGTTTCATTTAAAACTTTACAGATTCTTATTTTTACTAATGACATATAATAAATGTAGTAATGAAAAAGTTGAAATTAAATTGTAAACATATTGTAATAATTAAGTATTTTTTCATATTTATTTATTCTTAATCTTTGGAAAATATTTTAGTACATTAATAGTGTGGTTATGATGACCATCCAACAAGCTGATCCAGCTCATAATAGTGCCTACAGTGACACCAAATGAAATGTTTAAAGCTCATAATTAAATAGGAAAATGAGGCGAATACCTGCAAAAAGCTTCACTTTTGGAGAAAACAGCAGGCAGGTTATGGGCCTGCAGATAAATTTTTTATTTAATATCGAGTGTCACATTTGTTTGTTTGTTTGTTCGTTGTTTGTTTGTTTGTTTGTTTAATTATTTATTTATTTATTTATTTTGTTTGTTTAAATTGTTGAATATTTAGTTTCACAATTTTTATTATTATTTTTATTAATAAATTAACTTATTTAAATGGTTGAGTATGTAGTTTCTCTTTTTTATTTGAATATTCAGTGTTAAAGGCTTATTTTATTATTTATTTATTTATTTGTTTGTTTGTTTATTTAAATTGTTGATTATTCAGTTTCACAATTTGTGTTATTATTTTTTGTTAATTAATTAATTGATTGATTGATTGATTGATTGATTGATTGATTGATAAAAAAGATAAACTGCATACTAATAAATTAATTAATTAAACAATTAATCTACTTGTTTAAATGGTTGAGTATCCAGTTTATAATTTTTTATTTAAATATTTGGTTTTAAAGGCTCATTATTTATTCATTTATTTGTTTATTTAAATTGTTGAATATTCAGTTTAACATTATTTATTTATTTATTTATTTATTTATTTATTTATTTATTTGTTTATTTATTTAAATGGTTAAATGGTTAAATATCCTGTCTTTCAGTTCCACATTAATTTATTTATTTAGATAAATTAATAAATTAAAAACTTATTTATTTATTAGTTTGAATATCTAGTTTTTCTTAGTATTGAATATTCTGTTTCAAATATTTATTTATTAGTTTATTTATTCATTAATTTTCCTTCGGCTTAGTCCCTTATACACCAGTGTTTACCCCAGCTTAATGAACCCCCACTTTATCCGGCGTTTGTTTTTTTTACAACAGATGCCTTCCAGCCGCAACCCAGTGCTTGGAAACACCCGAAAACTCTCATTCATACTCATACACTATGGCCAATTTAGCTTATTCAGTTCCCCTATAGCACATGTGTTTGGACTGTGGGGGAACCGGAGGAAACCCACAACAACACGGGGAGAACATGCAAACTCCACACAGAAACACCAACTGACCCAACCGAGACTCGAGTTAGGGTGGGAGTAGACATTAATAAAACACATTTTAACTTCTGGCCACAGCTGTATCCCTTCTAGTAATAACCAACACACATCCAGACGCCTGCATGAAATGACTTTACTGTGACACAAAGTGAGCTCCCGTTGTGAAATACTGCTGGTCTTTTCCGTGTTTACTCTCTTTACTGCCAGCTCAGAAATGTTTTGTTTGGATTTCTGTGCGCTGATCCACTTTAACGTCAGATTATTTGTGTGGCCCTGCAATAAATGCCTCCGACTGAAGCTCTTGCGTGTCTGTCCTTACATGGTCCGACAAACATTGTCCTCGTTTTCTCTCATGCTTCTCGAGGCAGAGACGTCCCAATGACCTTATATGATCTGAACTCATTTGGGAAGTTCCTACATGGCCAGAGACGGGGAATAAATAAAAAAAAATATATGCAGACAGTAAAATGACATTATTAATATGAAATCAATGGCAATCAATTACAAAAATTACTTGCCATGTAAATATGTTTTAATCTTTAGGTTCAATTGTAATGCGATGACAATAATCTAACAAAAGTGCAACAAACTTTATTAAAAACAAATAAAATGCCTAGTTACAAATTTGTAAACATAATAAACCCTAAAAATTTAATAATGTAAAAAAATTATAATTAATAATTGTTTTCAAAATACAGCAAGTGCATCCTATATGTATAATTTATTAATTAATTTGTTTAAATTGTTGAATATTCAGTTTCACAATTTTTATCATTATTTTTTGTTAATTAATTGATTGATTGATTGATTGATTGATTGGTTGGTTGGTTGGTTGGTTGATTGATTGATTGATTGATTGATTGATTGATTGATTGATTGATTGATTGATTGATTGATTGATTGATTGATTGATAAAAAAGATAAACTGGATACTCAAACATTTAAACAAGTTAATTATTTTATTAATTTACTTGTTTAAATGTTTGAGTATCCAGTTTATCCTTTTTTATTTAAATAGTCGGTTTCAAAGGCTTATTATTTATTCATTTATTTGTTTATTTAAATTGTTGAATATTCAGTTTATTTATTTATTTATTTAAATGGTTAAATATCCTGTCTTTCAGTTCCACATTAATTTATATATTTAGATAAATTAATAAATTAAAAACTTATTTATTAGTTTGAATATCTAGTTTTTCTTAGTATTGAATATTCTGTTTCAAATATTTATTTATATCTTAAATATAAATATAGCTAAAAATCTTAAATATATTTATATCTAATATCCTATTTACATCCCTACACCAAAACCCAACTACTACTAATGTTTGGTGTGGACACATTCTCTACTCCACCATATAACAAAAAAAAAAAAAAAAAAGAGAGAAAAACTTAACTTGATCTTGAAGAGTCCTTGTAGAAAATGATGTATTTAGTTTTTACAAATCTTTTTCAGAAGCAAGGGTGTAAGATCAACTTTTGAACATAAAAATGTTATGAATTTATAATTGAGCTCATGGGCACCCGATGAAGTACATTTAGAAAACAAATCGGTTCATATTTCAGATCAAACTGTAGTTTGATGCAATTATATAGCACCTATGTCTTGAGGTAGTTCAGTATGAGGCGATTTACCTTCTTTGTGTGATTTGATTGGAATCACAGGACTGGTTTTTCTAATTTCCATAGACAAGAAAAAATAAAGTAGTGACTGCAGATTGAAGGAAAGTAGTGGAGTAAAAGTACAGCACTAAAACTGTACTCAATGCACATTAAAAGTGCACATTTCACTTAGTAAATGACAATTTCTCAGAAAAACTACTCAATTACAGTAGCTTGTGTATTTGTGCTTTGTTACTTTCAGTGATGGAGAGAGTACTGAAAAATCATACTCAAGTAAAAGTACCATTACCTGCCTAAAAATGTAGTGCAGTATAGTAAAAGTATCTGTTGTAAATATTACTCAAAGTTTGAGTAAAAAGTAGCCCTTTTAAAAGTACTCCTGAGTAAAGAGTAGTGAGAATTACGCTGTAAACAGTTGATGCGTTTACATGTATATTGTGGATGTGTGTAAACGTAATATTCTGTAGTGCATGTAGTTATTGGCCAGCAGGCACACAACGTCATAGGACGTTAATATTAGGTTAGATTTAGGTTGTGATGTCAGGTAACCAAAATTCAATGTCTATCCAGCGTCTAAGGGTAACGTTATTTTGATGTCTAATAACAACGTTAAATGACGTTGATATTTGGTCGTATTTTGTGTTAGAAAGTGACCCAAATCCAATGTCGAGCCGACATCTTAAACCAACATCATATTGACGTCAAATACTGACATTTATTCATCAATTATGGCAACTAAAATCCAATATCTGATAGATGTCATAGTGGTAAAGTCCACACAACTTCAAGCTGTGACATCATTAGACATTAATATGTGGTTGGTTTTCGGTTGGACATTGACGTTGGTCTGACATTAAGCTCTACTGTCAACGCAAATTTACATTTCAATTCAATTCACCTTTATTTGTAAAGCGCTTTTACAATGTAAATTGTGTCAAAGCAGCTTTACATAGAAGATCACAGTAAATACCAAACAAAATGCAACGTCCCCATGACATTGGGGTACAACGTCAATCTGACGTCATGTTGATGTCTTGTGCCTGCTGGGTGTTTAAGGCCATTTCGGTCCTCATACAGTAAACATCCGTCATCTTCTCATCAGTGACCTGCATCTAAACAGTCTCTGGGTCAACGTGTGTAAAGATTTTGAACATCTTCTTGGACAGGTTTTATTGCTTCCAAACAGTTTGCTGCATTTATATATCGCCCATGTATTGAGGTAGTTCAGTATGAGGCGATTTACCTTCTATGTGTAATTTGATTGAACAGGAATCACAGGACTGATTTTTCTAATTTCCATAGACAAGAAAAAAATAAAGTAGTGACTGCAGGTTGAAGGAAAGTAGTGGAGTAAAAGTACAGCACTAAAACTGTACTCAATGCACATTAAAAGTGCACATTTTACTTATTAAATGACAATTTCTCAGAAAAACTACTCAATTACAGTAGCTTGTGTATTTGTGCTTTGTTACTTTCAGTGATGGAGAGAGTACTGAAAAATCATACTCAAGTAAAAGTACCATTACCTGCCTAAAAATGTAGTGCAGTATAGTAAAAGTATCTGTTGTAAATATTACTCAAAGTATGAGTAAAAAGTAGCCCTTTTAAAAGTACTCCTGAGTAAAGAGTAGTGAGAATTACGCTGTAAACAGTTGATGCGTTTACATGTATATTGTGGATGTGTGTAAACGTAATATTCTGTAGTGCATGTAGTTATTGGCCAGATGACACACAACGTCATAGGACTTTAATATTAGATTAGATTTAGGTTGTGATGTCAGGTAACCAAAATTCAATGTCTATCCAGCGTCTAAGGATAACGTTATTTTGATGTCTAATAACAACGTTAATTGACGTTGATATTTGGTCGTATTTTGTGTTAGAAAGTGACCAAAATCCAACGTCGAGCCAACATCTTAAACCAACATCATATTGACATCAAATACTGACATTTATTCCTCAGGTATGGCAACCAAAATCCAACATCTGATAGACGTCAAATTGGTAACGTCCACACAACTTTAAGCTGTGACATCATTAGACATTAATATGTGGTTGGTTTTCGGTTGGACATTGACGTTGGTCTGACATTGAGCTCTGCTGTCAACCCAAATTTTCATTTCAATTCAATTCACCTTTATTTGTAAAGCGCTTTTACAATGTAAATTGTGTCAAAGCAGCTTTACATAGAAGATCACAGTAAATACCAAACAAAATGCAACGTCCCCATGACATTGGGGTACAACGTCAATCTGACGTCATGTTGATGTCTTGTGCCTGCTGGGTGTTTAAGGCCATTTCGGTCCTCATACAGTAAACACCCGTCATCTTCTCATCAGTGACCTGCATCTAAACAGTCTCTGGGTCAACGTGTGTAAAGATTTTGAACATCTTCTTGGACACTTTTAATGCTTCCAAACAGTTTGCTGCATTTATAAATCACCCATGTATTGATGTAGTTCAGTATGAGGCGATTTACCTTCTATGTGTGATTTGATTGGACAGGAATCACAGGACTAATTATTCTAATTTCCATAGACAAGAAATAATAAAGTAGTGACTGCAGGTTGATGGAAAGTAGTGGAGTAAAAGTACAGATACAGCACTAAAACTGTACTCAATGCACATTAAAAGTGCACATTTTACTTAGTAAATGACAATTTCTCAGAAAAACTACTCAATTACAGTAGCTTGTGTATTTGTGCTTTGTTACTTTCAGTGATGGAGAGAGTACTGAAAAATCATACTCAAGTAAAAGTACCATTACCTGCCTAAAAATGTAGTGCAGTATAGTAAAAGTATCTGTTGTAAATATTACTCAAAGTATGAGTAAAAAGTAGCCCTTTTAAAAGTACTCCTGAGTAAAGAGTAGTGAGAATTACGCTGTAAACAGTTGATGCGTTTACATGTATATTGTGGATGTGTGTAAACGTAATATTCTGTAGTGCATGTAGTTATTGGCCAGCAGGCACACAATGTCATAGGACTTTAATATTAGATTAGATTTAGGTTGTGATGTCAGGTAACCAAAATTCAATGTCTATCCAGCGTCTAAGGATAACGTTATTTTGATGTCTAATAACAACGTTAATTGACGTTGATATTTGGTCGTATTTTGTGTTAGAAAGTGACCAAAATCCAACGTCGAGCCAACATCTTAAACCAACATCATATTGACATCAAATACTGACATTTATTCCTCAGGTATGGCAACCAAAATCCAACATCTGATAGACGTCAAATTGGTAACGTCCACACAACTTTAAGCTGTGACATCATTAGACATTAATATGTGGTTGGTTTTCGGTTGGACATTGACGTTGGTCTGACATTGAGCTCTGCTGTCAACCCAAATTTTCATTTCAATTCAATTCACCTTTATTTGTAAAGCGCTTTTACAATGTAAATTGTGTCAAAGCAGCTTTACATAGAAGATCACAGTAAATACCAAACAAAATGCAACGTCCCCATGACATTGGGGTACAACGTCAATCTGACGTCATGTTGATGTCTTGTGCCTGCTGGGTGTTTAAGGCCATTTCGGTCCTCATACAGTAAACACCCGTCATCTTCTCATCAGTGACCTGCATCTAAACAGTCTCTGGGTCAACGTGTGTAAAGATTTTGAACATCTTCTTGGACACTTTTAATGCTTCCAAACAGTTTGCTGCATTTATAAATCACCCATGTATTGATGTAGTTCAGTATGAGGCGATTTACCTTCTATGTGTGATTTGATTGGACAGGAATCACAGGACTAATTATTCTAATTTCCATAGACAAGAAATAATAAAGTAGTGACTGCAGGTTGATGGAAAGTAGTGGAGTAAAAGTACAGATACAGCACTAAAACTGTACTCAATGCACATTAAAAGTGCACATTTTACTTAGTAAATGACAATTTCTCAGAAAAACTACTCAATTACAGTAGCTTGTGTATTTGTGCTTTGTTACTTTCAGTGATGGAGAGAGTACTGAAAAATCATACTCAAGTAAAAGTACCATTACCTGCCTAAAAATGTAGTGCAGTATAGTAAAAGTATCTGTTGTAAATATTACTCAAAGTATGAGTAAAAAGTAGCCCTTTTAAAAGTACTCCTGAGTAAAGAGTAGTGAGAATTACGCTGTAAACAGTTGATGCGTTTACATGTATATTGTGGATGTGTGTAAACGTAATATTCTGTAGTGCATGTAGTTATTGGCCAGCAGGCACACAATGTCATAGGACGTTAATATTAGGTTAGATTTAGGTTGTGATGTCAGGTAACCAAAATTCAATGTCTATCCAGCGTCTAAGGGTAACATTATTTTGATGTCTAATAACAACGTTAAATGACGTTGATATTTGGTTGTATTTTGTGTTAGAAAGTGACCCAAATCCAACGTCCAGCCAACATCTTAAACCAACATCATATTGACGTCAAATACTGACATTTATTCATCAATTATGGCAACTAAAATCCAACATCTGATAGACGTCATAGTGGTAACGTCCACACAACTTCAAGCTGTGACATCATTAGACATTGATATGTGGTTGGTTTTCGGTTGGACATTGACGTTGGTCTGACATTGAGCTCTGACGTTAACCCGATTTTTATTGAAGGTTAAAGGTTGAAGGAAATTAGTGGAGTAAAAGTACAGATACTGCACTAAAAATGTACTCAAGTAAGAGTAAAAGTGCACATTTTAAAAACTACTTAGTAAATTACAATTCCTGAGAAAAATTAATTAATTGCTGTAATTTGAGTAACTTTACACCACTGGTTACTTTACACCCTTACAAGCTGGTAAAGCCGTTCATACGGAGGTAAGCATGAAAAGGAACGGCGTCATACTGCCTCGTAGTCTTTATTTTAAAGACGAAATGCAGCCATACGTACCTCTGGCTACATAATTTGCATTCTCCAGAAATGTATATAGGGCTACATTTTCAGAATGAGCCTGTGTTGGTTTTGATGCTGTCTGATCCACTGCCCACAGGCTGCTGTGTCTACATTTCCTTGCCAGCTCTTCAACAATAGCAGAGGTCATCAGGGGTCCCGGACCCCGAGGAAACAGCATCTTCTGCCCCCTCCAGATCTTCCTGCAGACGTCACTCAACACCCGACTTGTGTCTCTGATCAAAGGCCGGAGTAGGAGGAGATGCACGACTGCGACACTGACACACTTCATCCGAAAATCCCCTGCAGTCTCACCCCGGTAACCCTGCGCAGTCTGACCGTCGCCATGGCAACTCATGCCCTGAAGGAGAGAAGGACGATGGTGGATTTAGAGACATCAGTATCCCTCCAGTGCTGAAGGTTAGTGATCTGGACAAACCTCCAGCAACTGAACAAACCAAATCACGTTTTGCAGAATTTGTGCTCCAGATATTATCAGTTCCTCAGGTGTACCTTTCCATTAAATGTGCCATATTGAATTTATTCTTCATATATGAGGCATATAAATGGCACATAACAATAGGCATATATTAGTAGCCAGTATACAGCCTTTTTACCTCCAGACTTCTGGTATTATTCACTTGAATTCATTTTACTATAGGTGGGCATGGATTAATTTTTTTAATCTAGATTAATCTCACTGTAATTTTGGAATTAATCTAGATTAAAATGGCTCATTTGAATTCTGCTGAAGACATTCAGAATATGTGTGCTACCCAAATAATGACTCGAAGTAAGTCTTTGAGAACGGGTTTCTCAAGCCAGGTGGAGCATTAGAGCAGGGGCTCATCTCCTGTTTCCAAAATGCATCACAAACTGCTTGAGAAACTGTTCTACTATGATAAATGGTGATGAAAATAAATGATGTTACTAACTGATTATTCAGTTAAACATGAATGTTCAACTGTAGGCCTACATAAGCTCCAAACAGCGATTTTTGATCACCTTAATCCGACTAAAGTCATAACTGAGCTAAACAGAAATTGAATTAAGACGTGTGGAGTCTGCAGATATTAGTGCCATTATTAAAGTATACACCGCGATCAAGCTATTACAGTCATGTAGGACTTTACACCATATTTTCTGATAAAATCTACAGACGCAGCTATCAGTCAAGGTGCACACACACACACACACACACACATCGCGAAATAGGTAAGCTTTTTCTTTCCATTCGGCGTGCGTTATTAAACTCCATAACACTCTTCCATCAGTCTTTATCCTTATGTGCGTCTAATACCCCAGTGTGTCATGGGGGCATGAATGAAATGTTCATGAGTAAAAGTGAAACTGTCGAACTGCAGTTAAAGTCACCCAAATTACAGGAAACTCTTACATGTAAGCATTTCACGTAAACACCTAAATTAAATTATTGTCTATTAACTACTTAAACTCTGCTGCTATTTAAGGATTTCCGCCTGGATTTTGCCTGCCCAAATTTAAAAGATTTCCAAACCCACATGCAGTTCCACATGAAAATTTGGTATCATTTTAAAGAGAACCCTTTGAATTTTCATAAAACACTATTGAAAGTGTTTAAAATATCTGTATATGTTGTCTGTGTTATAATAAACATCTTAAAGAGAGGCACTTTTTGTATTTTCTTTTTATAAACTCAAATTTGAAAGTGTACCCTTTAGGTTCTGTGTGGTCTAGCGTGCTGATTAAATTAAACAAATTAATTTTGGTGGTTCCTGCACATGTCTGTAATCATAGGAAAAAAGAAAAATGTCTCCACCATAATCTATGCAAAAAGTATTGGATTCCAACTGATGAGAGGTGCTGTACAAGCCACAGGGAGCGATCATTTTCATATTTCACTATTCTTTTGTTTGATCAAACATAATTCACTGTGTTTGGACCACATCAGACATGTAAAAGGATTACTTATGCACATCACCGCAAAAACAGAGGAGAATGGCCCTGAAGTGCATAGCATAAGGTAAGAGATGACAGCTGTCTGTGCTATCTGGGGCTGCTTATTGATCATAAATGTATTGCTTTCACTTCTGCGCCATGGAAACACCCCGATTCATTCGGCAACTGTTTGATATGTGAATATAATTCAGCAAAAAGAATGCTAAAACCGTATGAGCACCGGCAAGAGCTTTCAATTGAGCTGTACACCGGTCATATGAACCATATGAAAAATATGAAAATTCAATAGTTCAATACCCAGCTCGGGTAACCAAAACACTTTGTATTTAAGTGTAAATAACTTTTGTACAGTAGAATAAAAACCAAAGTGATGCATATGTGCATAGCTTCTACACTTTCAAACGAAAGGGGGTCTGGTGCAATGCTAGCCCTTTAAATCTTAAAGCGAAATTCGATGACGTCGCAGACCCCGTGTTTAATTAGTTAAGCACTAAATTTTGCTACAAATTTAAATTCCACACTTTTTGATGCAATACTATTTTAAAGCATCTTTAAAATGATACCAAATGTTTGCATTTACACCTCTGCATGTGGATTTGGGATGCTTTTAAATTTGGGTAGGCAAAATCCAGACGGAAATAGGAGGTTAAAAGAGGTTAAAATGCCAAATTAATAAAAAAATTAGGCGAATGACTGCGAAAAGGTTCACTTTTTGAGAAAAAAGAACCACCCATTTTAATACGCTGGCTATGGGCATGTCCTATTGATCCTATTGTGTACGCGCAGGCACAGTGAGACTTCCGCTCTCATTCACTTCCATTTATTTTTAGATGTTAAAAACAGCTCGTAATGCTGCTTGATGTTGGAAACTGATATTGTCTTTTTCTTCTTTTCCTATGCTGTAATAAACACAATTGTTTGTAGTACAACTAGTTTGACCATTTTCTGCCATTCATTACTCCTAGTCAATTCTCCAATGAGAAATTGAAATGGAAGGTCTAAAGCAAACGCAATACCGAGCTCACATCCGCATCACAGAATAAGAACCAAAGAAAATATTGATTTAAAAAGAGAGATTTGTGAGTGGTGAACTTGTTTATGCTCAGCACTGTACATCAAAAGGATTCTGCAAATGCTTTCCATTTTTACAACAGAACAGAAATAACAGTCGTAAAAATTGATAACATCCTACTATTCTAGACGCGTAGTAACAATATATGTTTAGAGCAGCTTCTGAGCAGACAGACAAACAAATGAGCACTGTTTAAAACGTTAAACCTATAACAAACCTCAATTCTCTTTGTCTTCTTTCTCCGTCTTTGTCTGTTTGGTCTAGCTGTGTGTCGCTCTAAGCAGAAGTGACGTCTCATTCATTTGTTCTGCTCCAGGTCTGACATTAATCCAGTGAGTGAAACACATATGCCACATCTGCCCAACACAAACCATCCACAGCAATTACTGTACATTACACATGATCAGAGTCACAGATTCCATCCACGAGTAGCAGTGCGATATGGCTGTATATCAGCACTGGTGGGAGGCGTGCGTGCTTAAGCGTCCCACCAGTGCTGATATACAGCCCTATCGCTGATATTGCATTTATACAACAGTTCAACATCACAATCCTGTATATAAATAAGAAAATCAAACACGGAGAGTCTAAAAACCCTATTTTTATTAGGAACTACTTTCTTTCTCCGTTCATTCACATCTGCAGCTGACGTCAGAATTCAATTCAATTCAATTCAGCTTTATTTGTATAGCGCTTTTACAATGTAGATTGTGTCAAAGCAGCTTCACATAAATGGTCATAATAACTGGAACCGTGTGGTTCAGTAACTGGAACAGTGTGGTTCAGTAACTGGAACAGTGTGGTTCAGGTTTTAGTGTTTAAGTTCAGTTCAGTTCAGTTTAGCTCAGTTCAGTGTGATTTAATCATTACTGAGAGTTCAAACACTGAAGAGCAAATTCATCGATGCGTAGCTCTACCAATCCTGAACCATGCGAGGCAGTGGCGACAGCGGAGAGGGAAAAAAACTTCACCTGATGGGAGTGAAGAAAAAAAAAAACCTTGAGAGAAGCAGACTCAGTTGGGCACGACCATTTTAATTTCTCCGCTGGCCAAAAGTCTTGTGCAGAGCTTCATTCGCCGTGGTTTAGGCTGGAAGATGGCCTCAGCGAAGACTCGTCTGTCCCTGGAGCGTCGCTGGAATCAGACTCATGTTCTCCACTCCCCACGACCATCAGCGCAGCAGCAGCTCAGGATATGGCCCGGTCCCGGATATGGAATCCTTGGGATCATCACGTCGCTGGTCTTGGATCCAATCAGTGACTCCGCATAATCTGAGGACCTCGGGATGAGTATCCCCAGGTGAAAATAGATAATAAAGAGAATAATTAGCGTAGCTGCTGTTCATAGTGTATAAGCAAGATGCAGAAGCCAGTGTGGAACCCGCTAGGTGGTGCACTGAGTGTATGCTTTACTAAACAGATAGGTCTTTAATCTAGTTTTGAACTGGGAGAGTGTGTCTGAGCCTCGGACGTTATCAGGAAGGCTATTCCAGAGTGTAGGAGCCATGAAAGAGAAGGCTCGACCTCCTTTACTTGATTTTGCTATTCTAGGTACTACCAGAAGCCCTGAGTTTTGAGATCTTAAAGAGCAAGTTGGTTTGTAGCGAGACAGAAGGTTGGTTAGATAAACAGGAGCTAGATTATTTAGAGCTTTATAGGTGAGAAGTAATATTTTAAATTCAATACGAAACTTAACAGGCAGCCAGTGTAAGGAGGATAAAATTGGGGTGATATGATCATATTTTCTAGACCTGGTAAGAACTCTGGCTGCTGCATTTTGTACTAATTGAAGTTTGTTAATAGAGGATGCTGGGCAGCCAGCAAATAGAGCATTACAGTAATCCAGTCTTGAAGTCATAAAAGCATGGACTAGTTTTTCTGCATCTGAGATGGATAGCATATTTCGTAATTTAGTGATATTTCTCAGATGAAAGAAGGCAGTTTTTGTGACATGGGATATATGATTTTCAAAAGTTAGATTGCTGTCTAATATGACACCCAGATCTTTTATATTAGAGCTAAAGCTAACTTTGTATCACAGCAGAACAGCAGAAGGCGTTACTAATTCGCCAACGTCACTTTGGAGCTAGTGTTTGAATGTATCTGTCTAAAGTGATGAAAAAACTGATTGAAAACTGCTGAAAACTGCTGATATTGCTTACACTTTAAGATTATAAGGCTGAACGTGACATGAAATGCCATCCGTCTACAGAGATATCTTCTTACAGTGTTACAGTCTACAGTATTTCCCCTTTTGCAAACGGGATTTCACAATAATTAACCCCGAAAATAAAAACGAATCCTCTAACGTTACCAGACTGCTGTTGTGTTTGCGATAAGGAAAAACGCTAAATACGTGCAGACTTATTTTAATCTGCCAACACAACACACATTCATGATATGCTAGCAAATCGGTATAAATACAGCATTACAACATACAAAAAGAGAGAGATCATCTAACCTGCCAACATGTCTCTGAAAAACCGGGAGACCGAGGGGGGATCAGGGGGGTGGGAGTGTGGGGGGTGTTCAGGGGTGAGGTTGAGAATAGGATGCAGCGGGTTTTGGGTGGCCACTTCGATCGGGTACTGTACCAAAGTTGGCAACCCGGGGTGTTTAGTTTACAGGCTGTACCAAAGAGGAGGGTGGGTGAAATTATGAGTTTTTTAGGGAGAAATAAAAACGGGATGTTGCGGGAGACTCAACCCAAGCTCATTCTGGAAACGTAGCACCGCGTTTTCTTTACGTGGCCGAAGGTACGTAAGGCCGCATTTAGTTTTTTTTCGAGCGAACGCTGCGGGGCGGTGTGGCGCCGCTCCGCTCCGCTCCTCCTCTTCGCGCTCGCCGGCTGACGGCTCGCCTCCGAGTGAAGGGCTTTCCCGATGCAACCAGTTTGTCCGCTTAGCTCACAGCGTTGCGTCGGCGGAGCAGACGCCCCGGAGGAGGAGGGGGAGCCGGCCGCGGGGACGACGACCGGGATCGAGTCCGGGGAACAGCGGTTCCAGAAATCAGGTAAGATGAAAAACGGAATTAGAAAAAAAAGGGCGAGAACGTGGCAGGATCCGAAAACGTGGTCGAAATCGAAGACGAGAGCTTTTGCTTTTTTTTTTCTGGACGGCTTTTGCGAACCGTCGCTCGGGTTTAGGGAAGAAGGAAGAGGAGGGCGGCCGGGTCGGCTAATCCGGCGGCTTTTCGCACGAGAACGGCACGGGTGCGAACGGCAAGCGCTCACGGGTGCGAACGTGAAAAAGCGCGCACAGCGGCCTCTCGCGGATCCGCGAAAACAAAAACCGCTCGAATACGTATCTCCCGGGACGTATCTCGCGGTCCGCAGAAACGTCCGCGGGTCTACGTTTCCACAATGAGCCCGAGACTGGTCTGAAATATGGGATACTCTCATAAAAAACGGAAGTGTTGGCTAATGTGCTTACCAGTTTCATATTGATTTGATCTGCTATTGTTAAAAATCAGACTCTTATATCTTCTAAGCGTAAGGGCCTATTATGCGATTCTGTCGCCATCTTGTGGATAGAAAATGTCAACTGTCGCCGATGAGATCTCAATAATTGTAAATATTTTAAAATAGGCACTATTCTTGCAAATAAACTTCATAGTTGCAATCTAAACAGCTACATTCTCCACTAAAAAAGCCTCAAAAGTATATTTTGTTGTGAAACAGCAGTAATATTTGTCAAACTAGTGTCTGCTTGTTGCTGGCTGTATGTGGGCGGAGTAATACACAAAGGGTAAAGAGGCTGTACGGATGCTGATATTACTTAAATATATCATGGCTATCAGCCAATCAGATTCGAGATCCAGACAGAACTGTTGTATAAACTATGATAGAATATGTTTTATATTACTTATGATTATTTACTTTTTTAATTCTCTCTCTTCCATTACTGAATTTATAGCTCCTTTCACACATACAGACCTTTCTGAAAAGTCTGTTCAAGAGTTCGCCCTTGCTGATGATTGATTATGAAGCTTGTTTGGCATGCTGTCCTGGGAGAGAGCCCTTAGCTGGTGAGATCCTCAAGCCTGGGGCTCCCTCCCGTTGCAGGGTGAGAGGGGAGTCTGAGCTCAGGTAGGTCTCGAGAACTCTGATTGATTATGAATTGGCTATGGAGATTATATGCTAAAATCATTGCTTGCCTATAATGACGATTTAATTTGATAAGTTATTTATGTTACATGTTTTGGTTAGTGGGAGGAAACCGTGGGGGAAAACCTACGCAAACACAGGGAGAACATGCAAACTCTGGACAGAAATGCCGACCTGGCCAGGTAAGGTCTGAGCCAGTGACGTTCTTGCTGTGAGGCAATGATGCTAACCACTGAGCCTCCGTGCTGCCCTGATAAGGAAAGGGAAGGAGTAGGGGTGGAAGGGGGGAGATGGCTTAAGATGCTTCGGTTATTTATAGTGATTTAGGGATCGTCTGATTGGTGGATCGTGCGTTAGCTACCGAGGATCAACTGCTGTCAATCAGAAGCGCATGCTCCTCTCGAAATTAGTTTATAAATAAGTAATGCTTTGTAAACAAATTTCAGGAGGAGCATGCACAGAAGTTTCAGTATCAAATACGTCATTGACAATTATTCTATGATCCAATCAGTTCTTGACCAAACCCCTATATATACCAAAGGTGTCTCACGACTTTAGCATCCCTCCACCAACCCGGACACCTCACCTCTTAAGCATTACATTCCCAGTGGGGAGGATTCTGGGGCCGGGCTAGATACGTCGCACGAATCTCAACTCCTCTATATTCCCTGGTATGTTCAGTTTCAGTTTCAGTTTCCTTTATTTATGTCATTCAACACATCACAATAGAATTGTAATGCAGAACGAAATTACGTTGCAACAGACCCAACAAGAACATAAAAAACATCATTATACAAACACTATCAAATCCTAACATGATAAAAAAGCTTTTATAATTCCATAAAAATATAAAAATATAATTATGTAATATATAACCTATTTTTTAAAAATCTCTGAAGAGAATAACTTAATACTTAAATAACTATTTCGCCATTTGTTGTAATATTAACAATTTATGCTAGTTTAACAGATTTATTATTGAACACTAGCTATCAACAATGTTTAAGAAATGGTATTATTCAAAAGTCTTATAATGACAGGATAAAAACTATCCCGAAACCGATTTGCACCTCAGGCTTCTGTAACGCCTGCCTGATGGCATGAGTGAGAGCAGGCTCTGACCAGGTAAGGGGAATAACACGAGTTGGGGTGTCTTCCCCGAGCTCAGGACAGCACGCCAAATACGCCTTCTTCTTAAACGTTTGCAACTCGTGAAACTTCGCTACGTGTGAACAACCCCCTTTTGAAAATACTGGTAAATTCGTTCCGGCTATTTTCCAGAAAGAGATGTTGTAACA